TTGAGCAAGTCAGTAACTACCTTGATCAAGGTAGTAACTAACTTGATTCCTAACTTGATCAAGTCAGTAACTAACTTGATCCCTAACTTGAGCAAGTTAGTAAATACCTAGAAACCTAACTTGAGCAAGTTAGTAACTACCTGAAACCCTAGCTTGAACAAGTCAGTAACTAACGTGATCCCTAACTTGAGCAAGTCAGTAACTAACTTGATTAAAGTAGTAACTAACTTGATCAAGTCAGTAACTAACTTGATTAAAGTAGTAACTAACTTGATCAAGTCAGTAACTAACTTGATCGAGTCAGTAACTAACTTGATCGAGTCAGTAACTAACTTGATCAAGTCAGTAACTAACTTGATCCCTAACTTGATCAAGTTAGTAACTACCTTGATCCCTAACTTAATCAAGTCAGTAACTAACTTGATCTCTAACTTGATCAAATTAGTAACTAACTTGATTCCTAACTTGATTTCTAACTTATTGTATCACTCAATTGAGTTAGTTATTAACTGCTCGATTCAATCATTGGCATAAAAATTGCCGATCGCCATATCGCCGACAGTAACATCGCCGACAGTGACACCGCCGAAAATACAGATAGTCGATAGTCACATTGCCGAAATGGGACTTTGTCGAAATGCAGTTTGTCGAAGTTCGGCGATCTGCATTTCGACGATGTGGCTTTCGGCGAAGAGCATACTGACCATAAATGCATCATTATTTTTATTCACAAGCGTTTTATTACCGTAAAATTTATTATATTATCTTTCAAAATTACACAGTCTTACAAAAACGAATAGTTAGAACCTAAACTAAAGTAAATTACGTGCTGTTAAAAGTAAATCAGTGTTTGCAGATGGGCATTTTTCTTTTTGGATGACATTTTGTTCAGGATGTTGCTTTGAATACGTGTGTAGATCTTCTCTTCAGTCACACCTACACTCCACAAAATTGACAAAACTTATATAGGACTCATCAATTATAAAATTTTTTCAATCTTCATTCTAAGTTTACTAAAATGAATGTATCTTATTTGGAATTAATTCTTCGTATTAAAATTTGATTTACTCCATAAAAAGATTACAATGCAATAGTAATAACAGATCATTCTATTGATAATCCTGATATTCATATTTAAGATCTTTCTTTAATCATAGTCTTCTGCAGAAGAAATCAACAAAGTTTTGTCATATAAATAATCACAGACTTTATAAGTCACATAAATCTTGAAATATATAGTATTCTTTCGAATGTTTTGGGTCAAGAATTTCGTATCCTAGACAAAAGTATCAATAACAAAATTTCAACATACACATTTCATTTCCGATGAACATTTATTTCCCGTAGTTTGAATATTCATATTAAATACATTTATGAATATAAACAAGATAGTCTTAAGATAAATTTTTATTCCATTCAAATAATACCAAGTAGAACATAGAAATCGGCCATGTTTTATATAAACAGTCAAAAAAAAAAACAAATAACACATCACCTATTATAAAGAAATAAACAAATAAATTACGCCTGAAAGACTAGTGGGTACACATTCACTTAATGCACGGATATGAAGAACGAAAAAAAAAACCAAAGTCATCAAAATAAAAGTATATCTTTGTTCATATAAATTTAAATTTTTTGTAAATTCTTATGAAATCTTTTTCTTGGTGTCGCTGATTCAACATAAAATGCATGTACATCACCCGATGGATTAATTGTAAAATTATATTTATCTGTATAATGATATTTACCAAGAAAACTACCATAAAATGATTCAAAAAAATTATAATCTTGATATCGAATTAAACCAAGATCTGTTAGATTAACACTTAAATGAATTGGTGTTCCATATGGTTCAGGATAAAGTGCAACAAACTATACAAAATATAGAAATACTATAGAAAAAGAAATCTTACAAAAATCAAAAAAACAAACCGCAACACGATCATCTAACAATGGTTTACTCCATATTTCAACATGATCATTTAACTATAAGAAAAAAAAGTTTTAAAATAAATTTCAAAGAATACTGATTTTACTTGAAGAATACGTCTTCCCATAGCTCCCAAAGGATCTTGATTAATAGCAATTAAATTTTTATTTAAAATAATATCTCGTGCCCAACTACTAATTGTTCTTAAATCAACAGACAGAATAAGTGGTGCAGCCATAATTGACCAAAGTGCCATTTGGGCTCGTGATTGACCTGGACTTAAACCATAGTTTCCAACTACAATCTATTTAAAATCAAAACTTTTTTAATCATAATAAATATTAAGCAAAAAAGAAAATTCTTTCGAACCATATCCGGATCATTCCAATGTCCTGGACCATGAAATGGTGATAAACGATCTTGATTATCACCAAACCATTGTAAAATTGTATAAACACTTTCCCATGAATCATCAATATCATCCCAATTTCGCCATAAATTACATGTTTGTGCAATAGCTGTATAATTTGGTTTCATTTTTGAAAATTCTTGATAAGCTGGCCATGAACATGAAAATGCAATTGGAAAACCGGTAGCATTCAATGCATGTTCCATAGCTGGATAACCGGTATCAAAATCTTTTATATCAGCATAACAACCATCTAATTTTAAATAATCAACTGTCCAATCAGCAAATGCTAAAAAAAAATTTTTCTTTTTTTAAATTAATATTTTAAATCTTTTATTTACTTTTAGCATCTTGCTCTAAATGTCCTAAACTACCAGGATAACCACCACATGTTTCTGTACCATAATCTTCATAAATACCAAGTTTTAAACCTAATGAATGAACATAATCAGCTAATGCACGTATTCCACTTGGAAAACGTTTACTATCAGGTTGTAATGAACCATTCTAAATAAACATATATATATATTAAGAGTGTTCATTTTATTTTATTAAAAATTTTACAGGTGCACGAGCAGTACTTAACCAACAATCATCAATAATAATATATTCGTATCCAGCAGCTAAATATCCACCTTGTACAAGTAATTGAGCTTGTGTTCGAATTAAATTTTCACTAGAATTAACCAATCAATTAGTCGTCCCCTCTCCAGAATAAAAGGTTATACTATATTAGAAGGTCACTCACAAGATGCAACAGAAGAGACAATCTCGAGTTTTAAAAAATTCTGTTTGTCGTGTTTTTCAAGACATTCAGAATCGGGACATTTGGACAATAAAATGGGATTAGGAACTCGAAGTAGAATACTATATTTTTAAAATTCAAATTACTAGTTTTATCAAATTCAGGGTAAGTGTTTGTTGTGCTTGATCACTTCTCCTGAAGCGAATTTGTATTATTTTATCATGATACTCAGATGTTCGCTAGAGGACAGTATGGATTATCAAATACTATAAAAAAGGTGAACAGATCATCCAAGTAAGTTTATGAAAAGGCTGAACAAAACTATGTGGAAAAGAAAAGTGTAACATAAATTTACCAAATTTTGAAATTTTTTTATCTGATACAGATAACAGCTGTTTTTTTAATATGAAAAGTTACATCTACAGCAACTATCTACTTCTCTCTTATCATCAAACCCAAAAATATTATCTGAGGTGTTTTCATTGAATAGAAATTTATTCAATTTTTGATTGTACTTTCATATTGATGTCATTTCTGTCTATTTGTTTGTATTCGTGGACAGTTATTATATTATTTACCTATTGTCCTACTGAAGATCTGTCGTTAACAGACACGCTATAGTATTTTTTCTGACTATTTTAATGAAGTACTTCGTGCTCAACATCAAACACGATTAAGGATTTTTGTTATAACAAAATAAATAAGAACAATTAAATAGATCGTTATTGATAAACGATAACTATTATGTGTTGATATATATTCGAACATAAAAGAAAATCAAAATAAGACGAGGATCATATATACATAAAATGAATTATTTTTTTCCTATTGATTCCTAGCGTTTTGGTATATCGTGGCTTCTTTAATAGGGCTATAACAACGAGACATATTAAATATGTTATACAAAAAAAGCATCAAATTTTCATCCTGAATTTGACGTTAAAGTTTTATGATCTTAGTTTTTTTTTGACACTTATCGCTAAAGATGGTTGTTTAAATATCAGAAGAGTTTTTCATAAATCCTTAGTTTTCTAGGTAAATCTTAACAAAAAGAAGGTCATGACCTTTCATTCGGAAGGTGACAATGCTTAGTAATTTTAATCTTAATCTAAATTTACCTAATACATGTATCTGGATCTTCTTGACAATTAGTTACACAACGAAATCGTTGCCATGTTAACCAACCCTGGTAAGAAAATAATAAATGAATACAAAATTTTCGTTTTTTTTTTGCATAGAATAGAAATTCTACCATTGGTGGTTGTCGAAGTAGTCCATTATCAAGTGTATTTACTCGATGATTATATGAACACAAACTAACAACAACAAAAATACATCTGATCACATATTCTGTCCACTTCATGTTGATAATCTAGAAATGTAAGAGAATAAGGGAAAATTGTTATCTTGTCTTCTCTTTCTTTCTTTCTTTCTTTTTGCTTTTAAATTACAAAGACAAGATAATATATGATGTTGATGTTGACCTTGTGCGCTCATATAATCGACAGTACGTAGTCATTTGCTAGTCATTCTTTTTTTCTTTTTATCTTTTCGAACAAACTAATTGAGAATAGAATTTTTCTTTTTGTTCTAATTCTTTTTATCATCAGTCAAAGTCAGCAAAACAAAACAAAACAAAACAAAACAAAACAAAAAAAAACAAAACCAACAAATATAATAGTTTCAATGGATGTTAGAACAACTATCACCAGTTTTTATTTTTCTTGGATGATTGAGAAATTATTCGATGAAAAAAAATTACAATAATAAAAATATTCATGTTAGTCTATTTAAAACAAAAAGAAAAAAAAGAACAAACAAATATATACTCCTTTGTCAAGTTATATACATATAAAAAAGGAATTTAAAAAAAAAGAACCAAAGGAATTAATAAATAAAAACAACATATAGATTTATTGGCCGAATGAATTTGGAAAAAAACTATTAGTTCCTGGAGTACCAAGAAAAGTTGAATTTTGAGGTCGCGTATAAGATGTTGGAGGTGGATAACTTGGCAACGGTGGTGGTTCTATAAAAAAAAAAAAGAAATTCATACAAGAATTAATTCATAAGTATTAGCTTACCATAATTAGGCAATGGTGGTTGATTAGAAGGATAATCTATATAAAAACAAAAATGAATATTTTTCTTAAAACCTCTCTTTAAAGTCCACCTGGATCTAACAAAATTTTGGACTCAATGGGCTATTTCCCCCCTCCAACTATTCGATTTTTCTAAAAAAAAAGATAATCTTTGAGGTACGTGGTAGCTCAGATGTCTAATTTGAAAATTCATAAATGACTTTCAATTTTAAAAGATTTCTCCAGAATTCATAATGAGTTTCTAAAACCCTCCATTGAAAAATTTTCAGCACAATGGCAGTTACCGCCTCGTATCATAATCCAACGTGTATCTAGAAGGTTATTTGATACCATTGTAGTTCAGCTTTTAACTCTCATTAGTCAAACAAACTCAGAAAATTTCATGAAAATCCTATGCACTATAACGAAAATTGATTTTCGAGGTGGACTTAAATAAAAATCTTTAATACATACGCATTGTATTTATATAAGACGATGAAGGATTACTTGAATATTGTTGTTGTTGTTGTTGTTGATCATAATGAGGTTCAGTTGGATATTGCCATGAAGTTTGTGATGTTGATGATTGATTATTATAATTATTTATTTGTGATGGATAACTATTATTAGTATTATTAGTATTAGTATTATTCCATGGATAATTTGAATTTGTCGTTGATGAATAAGAATTTCTATCAGTTGAATAAAAGTCTTGTGAATTATCATTTCCATCATTATATGTACGAGGACGTTTAGAATAAAATTCATCATATTCATTGGAATTATTTTCATATGGTATTGAACGTTTTGTTGATGAATAGTAATTATCATTGTTATTATTAAATGAAAATGTTGATTGATTATTTGGATCAAATGCACCAAAAATATTATTTGTATTTTGATCATATGATTGAAATGTTTGAGTACGAGAAAAATTTTGAGATCGAAATGAACGTGATTTTCCTGAAGATTTATTTGAACCACGAAATGAAGAAAAATTTTGACGACGATTTATATTACAATTTCGTGTAGTCTTAAAAAATAGATTACAAAAACAAATAGATATATGAAAGATAAACAAGATATACTTGATTATTTACTCGATCAGATTGTTTTGAAAGACTTGGATTATTTGATCGATTAGAAAGTCGAATATGAAGTGCACTTTTAAGATGCTAAGACACAAAAAAAAAAACAAAAATATTAGTTATAGTTGTATGGAAAAAAAAAACAAGATTTCGTACTTCAATAAGTTGCATTTTATTTCGAAATTTTTTCTTGCATAATGTACATTGATAATCAAAACTATCTTTTTCTGTATCTGTTATTGTTATTTTATAATCATCAAAATTAATATTCATATCAGCTCCTTCTTTAGCACAGAATTCTATAATACAAAAAAAAAAAAAAAAAAAAAAATAATAATAATAATTGAGAAATAAAAAACAAAGAATAGACCAGCTTCTTTCACTCGTGTTTGATGTTGTCTTTGAGCAAGATGTTCAGTTAGTTCATTTTCAGAATTTAATTGTATTGAACAAACATCACAATAATTTGATGATGACGGATTATTATCTGGAACAACACGAGGTGGTGCAGGATTGCTTAACTAAATGAAAATACTTTTGAACAAATTTCTTTTGTACGATTTAAAATCATAATTTTGTTCGTAGAAAACTGACACTATCATACTTTTATTTACAAGGGAATTACATAAATTAATGCCCGTCATTTAAACTCATATTGGGTTTATAAGATCTTGGTAAGTCAAATTCAATATCTTGAAACAGAAATATTCTTTTCGACTAAAACTTTCAGAATATTTTACTTGTCATTCAATATGTTTATAGGCAAAATTTTTGATCGAAATATTATTATTTGATTTTTTGGTACATACTTAAAATTGGATCGAAAATTCAGTAACACGATTATAACTAGACTTGTGACAGTTCCCAATGAAAGAACTGAACTGGTGATGACTAGTTCTTTTTAAAAGAACTGAATATGGTAATCAACTCTTTTTTGACAACTGAAGCAAGTACATTTGAAAAAACCAACTAGACCCAATTCTTAAAAAAAGAACTGATCAGTGGACTCAACTGTGAATAAAAGAACCAGTTCTTAGGACTGTTAGCTATCACAGGTCTAGTTATAACTCGGCTGTAGAGGCTTATGGGCGCAAACCCTTTTATGATTTTTCTAGTCTTATCAAGACCTCCCTCATGAACCCAATATGAGCTCAAATGGCGGGTATCTGTTCGAGTAGTTTCCTCATTAGTTAATATTAGCTTAGTCTCAGAATTTTGTGTTCTTTTTGAATATCACTTCAAAATTTTTGGAGACCCATAAATAGAATTTGGACGAGCTTCAGCACGCAGGTCTAACAAATTTTGGGTCCGGATCAGATTTATGGAACGTTCGTAAGACCCAGATCCGATAGATTCTACCAGTTACTATTGTATTATGTAAATCATTTCTATTTAGTTATTATTAAATTAGAAAAACAATATGTAACTTCTCATGATAGGTTAACAACATCAAAGATCTGCTAATAAATTCGCTAATCAATATTAGAAAATTATTCAGTTTTGAGAAAAATTAAAGTATGATTAATACATAAAATAATTAAATAAAAACTTACATTACTAAGTTTAAGTTTCATTTGATGTTTTTTTCCAGTAATATGATTATCAAACATTTGTTGACTGTTGCATGAAATATTACACATATTACAATTAAGTTTTTTTGTTGGTATTAATGGTGGTGCAATTTGTTTTTCATTTATAATTTCATCTGATACAGAAATTTCTGATTTTTCATTTTCATTATTCACAACTATTGATTCTTGTTTTTTTAATAAACAAAGCTCTTCATATGTAGGTGCTTTATATTGAGGATTCTTCTATAATAAAAACAAAAATAGATTTAATCATTAATGAATAATAATAATAATAATAATAATTTTACAGTAAGTAAAATTTTTAATTGTGCTTGATGTTTTTTTCCTTTTATATGTGAATCATAAACAATTGGACCACTTATAGATACTGAACAAATATCACATTGTACAGTAGGTGTTGTACTTATTAGTTTTGTACTGTTCGATGTTGAATTATTTCGTTTTGATTTTTTTGTTTTTTCTATTGGATTTGTTTGAATATTACTTTGTATTTCTTGAATATCTCTATTATCAATTTTAAATGGATCTTGATTATTTTTATTTTCATAAAAATGTTTAAACGATGGAAAAGAATCCATACAATTCTCTTTTGAAAATGACTATTGAATACAAAAAAAAAAGAAAGAAAACAAAAAAAGAATTATTAATATTTGCCTAAGAAAACAATAATCATACCACATATGGATCAACCATTTTTTTTTTGTGGAATTCAATTGAAAAAAAAAAAGTTAATCTGAAATAATGCTTAATAAGAAAAAAAAAAGTTTTTCTCTCGTTTTTTTTTTTTTTTATTCATTCGTTTAACATTTATTAATGATGAAAAATTGACAACCCCGAACAACTACAATTATTAATTAATGAATATCATTGAAATACAAACAAATGGACGGATAATATTGAACAGACAAAATATTCACATTAGTAACACATTCAAATTTTAAAAAGAAAAAAAAAGAGATAATCTGATCGAAGATAATAAAAGTCAAAATTCAACGCCATATTTATCAAAATTACGTACAATAACATGTAAACGTAAATGAATTTTACCCATTGATACTGTTCGTAATTTGTAGAGTTCAGCACTTGATGAAACTAAATCAGGATTCTAAAATATAGAATAAAATGTTTTCTTTTTTTTTGTCAAAGAAAAATCATTTAAACAATTATCAATCAACTCGAATAAGAAATCTCTCGAAAATAATATCGAACCGATATTTTTACTTATTCTTGCTTTAACAAAGCCAGGATAATGACTATTCAAGTTCACTACCCTAACTTGAGGAGAGAGTCAAAGCTTTTCTATCTCTCTCTACCATATTAGAAATAATACAACATATGAAATATTCATATCTATGCTCTGACTTGAATGTATACTTAATTACTTTTCTATATTTATTTATGATAGACTTACTTTTAATTGAGAACTACCACCAATAAATTGTGTTTTAAGTTCTTCAAGGAGACTACCTTTTGGTCTCCAAGTAACACAATCAATTTCATGTGAACCTGGACTAATAGGTATATGACAAAACCCATAACTATATAATTCATTACGTCCATATAAATCTTGATGCCATACTTGTAACTAATAATAAGATGAAAAGTAGTTGAAAATAAATCGATTGTAATCATAGTTATGATTACTTACGTGAAATTTTGGCCAACCTACAAAATAGATATAATCACATCTTAATATAATACGTAGATGATCGATATGGTTGAATGATTCTTTTTTTTTTTTTAAATAGCTTTGCTTTTTTTTCTGTACTCTTATGTCATTAATCGTGCTTATTTTTTGCTATATTTACCTTGTAAACCTCTTGTAGCAAAATGTAGATCAATTGGATGACACCAGTTAGCCATTGGTTTATCTGATGGTTCATCAACTTGTGTTTGACCTTCGTGATCACCTTGTAAGACACGCCATGCACTTCCTATTTGTACTTTCCATTTACAAAATAGACTTGATTCAGGAAAACCACTTGCACCAAGTATTTGTCCAATTACATGAACTTCAGCCATAGTTTATTTGACTAAGTAGGTAAGAAAGATTGAAAATGTAGTAGGTAAGAATAAACAGACGATGATGAATTCAATCTCAATTGGTTGCTAGCGATCGACATTATTATAGAATATTATCCTCTCGACATATCAAAGATGTCACTCATTGATTAGATGGCAGAGATGAAAGCTTCAATAAATTCTGCTGTGTGTATTTTTTTTTCTTCTGTATTGAGATACAAAGTTCATAAAACTACGTCACCATATTTTTAAAATAATTTATTAATTCTTAATATGATTCAATAAATTAATAATCTAAAAGAATTAACTGTGAATGTTTAGTTGAGTTCATTTCTTAAATTAAATAACTTTCGAAAACTTATGATAACAGAAGATTATCGTTTAACGGAAAGAAAATCGATCTTTTTAGAAAAAAAATCAAGCACATGGCTATTTTAATTTTTAGTACAAAATTGAATAAGAAACGTTGCTTTTATCTCACGACTATACCTCTTTCTATTCAAATGGTATTGATACATTATCAAAATTGCATGAAAGGTGAGTACTTCTAGAACTGCAGTTGTCTATGCAGTGCATTAAAACATGATATGGACATCTTTTAGATATAAAGTAGTGTTCTGCACGCAGCCCCCGGCGGGGGGGGGGGGGGGGGCGGGGGTGTGCCCCCCCCCCCCCCCCCAAAGTCTGATCCTTCGCGCGGGGCCTGTCTGCACGTGTACGATTTTTCGCACCCGGACAAACAATTGATTCAGGATTCACTTGATGTCTTTTTGCTTCTAAAATCCGATCAATTTTGCTAAGTAAAGATTTACTTTTTACTGATTACATTGAAATAGAATGCAATGATGATTTCGAACGTCATAATTTTGAATACATGCATGAATGCTTTTTCCATCGTGATAATACATGTTCATCCTTTTGACAATTCATTTTTCTCTTCATGTATTCAATTATCATCTCATATGATTTATCATTATTTGTAGATGAATTTTCATTAAAAATGAATTCTTTTTGTAAAATAATATCGCTTTCTATTTCTATAATCTGTTATCAAATGTAACAAATTGCTTGATTATGATCGAATTGGTTTTCATTTCCATGCTTTTATGTATATAGCAATTTGAAAAAGTAACAATATTTTGAAACATCGAGATCTCATTAGGTTAAAGTGGTATTTCCGAATTAAGATTGTCATCTATTATATTTATGGTTAAGAAAACATCTTGTTATATTCAATCCAACAATAATCTTATGTGTACTTTACTGATGGTGTTTTACTAATTGGAAAGTGAGTATAACACATACATTATACTAACAGAAATGCCTATGGATTGGCACGAATATTTTATTAACATGCCGTATGAAATCTACAACTGGTTGTTCACTCCATATTTTAAAAGCATACTAGATTTGAGTCCGTATGGATCAGAACAAGCAGAGACACCAAAGAATATATATAGTATGTGTTTAATGCAACAACGCCATTATTGTTCGTATCCAATCTAATGGCTCGATCTGTTTGCATCGTGAATTACAGAAATATCATAGTACTTACCGTATCGGTTTCAATGCAAATAAAATGTAAACTTTGATAATTTATGGTTAAATCAGCAGATGACCATTAATCTGCATTAATATAGGATTGTAATCGATTCGAAAATCTAGTCGATTTTGGTAGAGTAGAATCAGAATTAATTGATCTTAGATGAGAAAAAATCATCAATATCAATGAATTATTCGATTCAAATAAAAATAAAAAAACGAGTGATCATCAAAGATGAACCTTGATTGTGAATCAAATTTGCGAAAAAATAGATTATAATCTTCGATTTAATCCGAAAAAAATTATAATATGTTTAACTTCCATCAATTAATTAAACATGAAATCGATGAAAATCAGATATCTCTTGATTCTTCTGCTTATTTCTTTTTATATGAAATTTCATGCCTATATGAAAAATAACGACAATATTCCTTGGATAGTAATTCATGAATGTCATCAACTATCAAGTTCAGATTTTCACCATTCGAAAGCTACAAAACTGTATATTTAACAAACTCATAAAACACTAATCACTTGAGAAATGCCTATACATATTATTCTCGAGATATAATCCTAATCAGTATTAAAAACTGAGTCAATTGTTATAATTTTTGATAATTTCTGAAACTTTGATTTCTTTGAAAAAAATCACCTGTACTCTTCTTCAGAAATGGATCGAAATACGATGTCTGCCAAAATGATGTGTTGTTTCGCATGTAATAGTATTTTAGAAAATCTCGTTCTTCATTCTATACGACAAATGGCGTTTTTGGCAGCCATCATGTTTTGATTCACATCTGAAGGGGAGTACGGATGAATTCTTAGAAATATTTGAAAGATGTATAAATCGACTCAATTTTTAATACTGATTCCGAATATGAGATATGTTTTGATGCGAGTCGTTATTTTCTAATCAAAAGTTACTAAATATTTGTCAAGAAAAAGTGAAGAGTCATGCCTCGAAAATGATATGTTCGAGTATTTCTTAGGTGATCAGTGCTTTATGATTTTGAAAAATATATAATTTTGTAGCTTTTGAAATAGGATATCAAATAATAAAAAGCAGACTTCGTTACCTGGCAACATTTATGAATTCCTATTCAAACAATGATGATGTTATCTTTCATATATCTATGAGACGCACCCATGATCTTGGCTGCACTAAGTACGAATAGAAGATCAGTGTAAAATAAAACTTATCTAACCCAGCTTCCTGTGCTGAATACGAATCTGAAGTCAGTTTTTCCAATTTGAAAGATATTGTATGACTTCTAGAGGTAGGACAAGCCGCAGTATAGTCCATGCTAACTTGACCTTTGAGATTTTTGCATTTAGATAAATTAATGTCAAAAGATGCGTCTTGACGAGATCTATGTGTGGTAAAAAAGAAAAGAACTCTAGCACCGCGTACACTACTCAAGAAAAATGCAAAATACTGCCATATTGAAGGAAGGTCGAGTATCGAGTTTTTGGACGGTTTTCGACCTATAGCGTTTTTTCTATTCCATACATTACTTATTTAAATAGGATGAATTACAGTCCAGACTGTTCTCTATCAATTGAGATCGAGTTAATATAGACCCTTTAAACTTGTTTTAGCTTGCATTTTTCCATAGGTAAAACCAAATACTCTAATATTTTGGAATTGAGTATGACTTGACTAGAACTTTCATTTGAGATAATTGAATCGAGAAATAATTTCTTTTCTCCAACGGCGTAGTGTGATCCTGTAGTGAACTTTCTCTTAAATACTTCGTGTTCTTTTCCAATAGAATATAATATTTTTAATTTTTCTATGATAGTACTTTTCTTTTTGTCCTCGATTAAAACTATAAATTTATTTAATATTATAAACTGTATAAAAAAAAAAGAAAACAAACATTTAATGTTAACATCGTTCAAAAATTGGAATATCTTCAATTGTTACTGGATATGAATATGATTGATTTCCTTCATAAATTTGTTCAGTATGAATGCATTTCCATGTTCCTTGTGGTAAATAAATTTTTAATTCATTAATATTTTCTTCAAGTACAGGTGCAACAAGTAAATTATTTCCTAACATATATTCATTATCACAGATTTGTGCATTTATATCATATGGATCATAAAACCATAATGGTCGAAT